CGTGGGGCGTCTCAAGCGGTATCATGATCCGCAGGGGGCTGCAGATCAGCAGGCGCCCTGTGGCATCGGGTAGGAAAATTTGAGTGCCTCTAATAGATATACAGTTCGCTAAAAGAATAAGAGGAAAATTTACGATCGTACCCGTTGAAAGCCAAACTACGCGAATCATAGCATAGTTAAACACAGTTTGTAGGAGCCTCGATGAATAATGGACCAGTTACAGATGTCACATAACGAAGTTATGATAAACTACTACGCTAATTATGTACTTTTGTCAATATTGACAGAAAATGAGACGGCAGTAAGAAAAACATGCGCAGCGGCAATTTCAAAAATATTGTGACATCTGAATTATGACTTATGACACGATAGTCAATGATAACGAAGGAACTGGGTACACCAAACGCGTTGTACTTCTTAGCGTATGCGCAAAGTTAATGAACTAAATAAAAGGCAGCTCAAGAAACTTGTGGTGATTAGCGCGCTGACTGACATATATGAAACCTTTTGCTCCGGCCTAAAGGGGCCAACGACTAGAGTCAGCATTAACAGGTACTTAGTGATCTTAGTAGATCATAAAAATAGTCATTCCCGGAGATGGCCAAGAACGGAGTTGAGCCTTTTGAGTGTTGGACTAGCGGTAGCGCATTGATGGAGGTTGAGGCCTTATTCATTCTGCAAGGTAGTCGGCAGATAAGTATGTAAAAAGTCAGGCTCGAAAGGATTTGCCGAGCAGATATTGATGCGGTACGAAGCACAATGTGTGTGCGGGGATTACCGTTGAGTTTCTAGGGCGATACGACAACCTAAATTTTGAGTCGAACGCGCCCAACACAAACCAAGAACAGTCGCCAATGCGGAGGTTGACAGAGATTACTATCCTTCCAAGCCATCTGCACAAGTGCAAACGGCTCATGCTTCACCGTTTGGTCCAAAGAAATCAAGCTTAATGCGCATCAACTGCAGCTGGTATTACCATTCAACTGCCATACTACTTTTGCAAATGGTCGAAACCACGCCTTACGCATGACACACCGCTGTAGAGGCAATCTCCGTCAAGATAAACCCGCAACTCCGTCAAAACCAATCGCGATCACGCTGGGAAGGGCATCGCAAGGCTGGCGTACGTTTTATCAAGATCAATGCTAGCGGATCGCCTCAATAAGGCGTTGGCGGCGTCAAGGATGGATAAGTTGCGAGGTTTTACATGACGAGCATGATGCGCGCGAGAAGTAGAAGTGCGACAGAGACTTAACAAGTTGTCCAGTAATCTGAAGTTGTTAACATGCGGCCACTTGATCCAGTGTCGATGTTCCAGTCATCTTATCCGTCTTTGTCTTAATCGCTTTGTCCACTTCGTCGTCCTCGTCTTGCAAGTGGCTTTCAGATGCTCTACCTATTCGGCGCTCAACATCTTTCCCGCTTGCCTTCTCCTCAACGATCCTTTCTAGGCGCTGTGATTCATTTCGACCCCCGTTGACCGCGCGAACTACACTAGTTTCGCCGTCTATCGCTAGTTGTCGGTTCTCACTGAGTCCAACCTTTCCCCTCATCGAAGAACCTGTCCGCAACGTTCATAATGTTTCCCAGTACTAGGTTGTATGCTCCTGCGCATGTTTCACGAACTGCAAAAAAGTATTAGAAATGTTCTGTCCAGTTTTTTAATTATTGCTTTGGGTGTTGTGTTGGTCTTGATAATTTGTGTCCACGTCATCTTGGTAACGGACGTATGCAGTTGAACATGCATTTCTCGTTTCAGTGTGAACTCGTGGTCCCACGATCCTTTTCCGCCTATTGGTTGATGTAGTGTCTTTCGGCTATCTCTTCCAAGGGATACAACAGGGTTGCCTTGAACCTCGCGCATAGGAAGCTTCGACTACATATCGTCGAGCACCGCCCAGATGCCTGATCCAAAGCCTCTCAGGTAACTATCACCCTATTCTTTCTAATGCGCAAATAAAGATGAAGAATGCTGTCAGAAATATTTGTTTCACTAGCTACTCATTCATATTAATTCACTGCATAATGCATAACGTGAGTTTGTGCCCACGATTCTATCTTTTCCGGAGTCTCATCATACCGAGACCAAGTCACGATACTTTACCGCGCATTTCATCGTGGTACCTTTGAGATTTGCTCATGTCCGAGGGAGAACAGTGGTACGTGTTTGAACGTTATAACAGAAGACGTACTTATAATGCCGTCCGCCAACCTTACTGGTATCAAACCACTTTGTTTTATCAAAAGACATGCATTTGTGAAAGCTCTATGAGTACCAACTTTACCGGAAGTTTGTATCTCTAACTGCACTAACTTGTGCCAGCTGTTATGAGCGCTCCTTACAGCAAAGGTTTTCTTCTCGACTTATTCGATAAAACTTGTGACTTATCGAGCCGTGGAAACTGGGTGACTTCTGAGAGGCCAAATTCGGTGAGGAAGTCGAGGAGAAAGATAGGTCTCAGTGACTCGCCGAGACCAGACTCAACACACGCGCTCTCATCAAAACCCTGACAGCCAAGTCGCACCCCGTGTATGAAATCCTTTTCAAACATGCCTGCCTCACCAATGCACAATTTGCACAACCCGGGCCTGCAACGGGGTTTTACGTGCCCTGGTAGAAAGGGTGTGGGTAACGCAAGATGGTGTGATCGCTCAATGGTGTGGTTTACACATGATAGTGTGACCACACAATGGTGCGCTCACACTTAAACAAGAAGTCAGTACGTGGCTGGACTGCCAGAAGTTATCCGTTTGATTAGGTTTTATTATATAGATAGGAAAACCTATAGATTTAGATATAGGCAGCTTTGCTGCAAATCTAATAAAATCGAGGAATACAGTTTACGTTTTGAACGAAAGCGTTAATTAGTCTTGATTTAAGAATGGTGTTACTCCTGGAGTAAGTGGATTGCGATCCGCTACACTTGTACTGGCTCTAAACATAGAACGAAGGTCATCGACCAAACCAAGCTTCCTCTAAGCGAAATAGCTACGGCAGTCCCGCTGCAGGGCATATCCCTTCGTCACTGAGTGCCCGGCCTCCTGCAACAGAGCTTGCGACATAATTCAACTTGTTATCGATTACTTTAACCTGGCTCAGCGAGCCGAGCTTGCTCATCTGTAGGCACAAGCGTCGCAGGAACTTTCGGTGCAATTGCCCAGAGAGTCGCACGTCATATTTATGCATTAGATTCATAGAAAATTGCCCGCCACGTCGCAGCGGATCTGTGAATCGCATACGGATGTAAAATAACAGGTCGAATTAAAATTGAATGTGCCTTTGAAAGTTGTTATAAAAGCATTGTTTTTGGCCCCCAGGATCACCTCTATACAGAATCACCTCTAGCACCTGTGGTAGTTGCATTTGGGAGGGGGCGTACCCCTTCTGCGACCGTTTGTATGTTACTCAGTTTTGGCAAAGTGCCGAAGCGTATATGGCTTGATAAAGCATTTGGTTGAAAAGGACTTTACTCGTGTTTACGGTGTTTTAACCTAACGTCTATATCATAGAAACAGGCACCCGAATAAAACGTTGATTCATGCTTGACTTTTCGAAATATGAAGCATGACTTCGACGTCGAGATGGGCGCGTATCACCTTCCCATCCCTATGTGCCTATTGGCATGACCAATTGCCAAGTATGAGTCTTATAGCTAGATTAGCACTGCGCAACCTTGTCTCTTCTTTTGAAGAGTTCGAGACAAACGATGCACGTATTTGAAAGCAACAATAGTACAACATTATTTATACCACAAACTACTTTCAAATGTTTTCTGCTCCCCTTGTGAGCCCATCACCCTCTATCCACTCCACATAAAAGTAATTACACCCTAGCACGTCGAGCATAGCCGTCGGTGGGTGGCCCTGGCGTGGCTAGCTCTCAATTTTAGATTGCTTAACCTGCTCACTCCGAAAGTCTTGACGTGCGGCCGATACGGACATGCATCATCGTTCAGACGCGCTGAGTGAATCGAAAATTTGGACTGATTGGCTTGAGGCACACCGAGGGGTCAACAACTGAGCTACTGCAAGGTGTGGGATGGTCGAGACGTTATTAGGTGTCAGCATAACGCTTCATATTTGATCAGGTCATGAGTGCGGGGTCTGGACACAGCTTTAGCAAGCCTGAAATCATAGTAGATGTTCGCATTTTTTGGGATATTGAAGGTATAACACAGTTTTCCAAGTAGGTAATGTAGTTGAAGAATCGATGTAACGAGAACGCAGCTCAGCCTTGGATACTGCAGATACCGCCAGTGATTAAATGTGGTCAGCGATTAGTTACAGTTTACCCACTGTCTCTGACATCCGCGTATTGCTTCTACGTATCCCATAGCCTCGCACACTTTGCTCAAGACACTGAAATTCTACGAAATGATTTAGTAAATTTGCGACATTTTGTAGTCGGGCTAACGGCTGCAAGTCGAGCGCATTATTTATCCTTCCCCAGCAAGCCCCGATCCGCTTTGGGGGTGTCAAAGGGACATGGGTCTTACAAATCATTCATAGAATTTGGAGCAAGCCTCAAAAAGAGGTGCTGCGTTTTACAATACATGCTCAGTGAGTCGGAGCATTGGAGCAAATCGCTTCAGCACCGCAGAAACCATGCTCAAGCGCTCCAGAGTATACTGTTCACCAAGAGATTACCGCGTTCCGTCTGACCATCTGTCTGGAGAGGAAGTGTTCAATGTGGTACCAAAGCCTCGAACAAAGGTCACTAAAATTTTATTTTAAACCATAATGTCAATCTGAAGCGATAGCCACGGGCAAGCTGTATTGGAAAAAATTGCTAGGGAGCAGCTCGGCTGCATCCTTACCATTAACAGCGTCGCCAACAGCAGCAAAAGGGTCATCTTGCTCAGACGGTTCAGAAAGACAACATTGCCAATTCAATTAGAAGCCTCTGTAGAAAGACCAAATAATTAAGCTCATATAAACGACTTGCCAATTCCCTGCCTAAAATGTCAGGTTGACGCAGGGTGACGACGCATGTGGTGAGATTTTCTTGCGTTCATACGTGCGCACATAAGCGCTTACAACTTGTACATATGACGCCACCAGGTCAAAGATCCCAAAGATCCGTACCGCTTTTATCTGTCAAAATTTTTAGATCAGGTGCTATCATGTGGTTTGTGCTAGAATAAATCAAGCCTTGGAACAAGACTTAGCGGTGCAATCGCGTCATTAAATGCGTTAATAAATAGACGATTAAAATCGATTCTTGATCGCCAAAGCTTTCAACACTACAACACATTTTGCGTCTGCCCCAAACCTCGTACGAATTGTCATGTTATGCGACAGCTAATTGTCCGGTCGACATAAAAGCGCACCCGCCACCACATAAAGCAGGTCTAGCTAATACTGTACTTGAAAGTATGGGCAGTTAGAAGGAGAATAATCAGTCATTCTTTGCGCGAGGCATTTGACGCTGTTGCTGTATGCAATGGCATATAATCGGTGTATTACACAACAACTTCAAGTTTAGCATGTGTACTTTAAGGTGCAATTACGTACTTCATAGCAATTAGCTTTTTGTCAAGACTCGTTTTTTGCCGCACGCCATCGCCGTTTGACATTATTCTTAGAATACCGGTTAGGATCGTGTCATGTGGGCGTAATCTCCACTGTATTTGTATAATTAGCTGGTCAGACCAAGCTACTTCTTCAATTCTCTTGTAGACGCAGTACTGGCAAATCAACGATGGCTTTGCTTGATGTGGCATCTGCCCGTAGCCTATACTTTCCAACGCGCACACCAAAAATTAGATTTTGCTAGCATTAATGACACCTTTGTGGTATAGCCATCGCGGTATGATCACAGTATGTGAAACGCACGTCTATTACAAACCAGTAGTTGACATCGTGAATTGCATCATCAAATGTAAATGGAAGGCAATGTGATTACAGCCTCAGATAAGATAAGGAACAGCTCTTGGAAAAAAGGGATCTCGTGCCAAAATGCTGATGTACGGCTGCAGTGTTACGAACAAGTGCAATACGACATGGCAAAACGTTTTGTACAATACTGCACCATCTAAAACTGAAACCGTTTTAAAAATGTGCGGTATGCTTTGCAGCATTATTCGTCTGAAAAGCGACTGAGGCCTCAAAACAATTGATAATACAGCTACTTCCGGCATGACTTCCATATCCTTGACATCATAGCAAACTCAAAGTATAAACAAAGCTCTATTTTTAAAGTGCTGAAAGCGATGTACTGCAATCGCAGTATACACTTGCTATTACACGCATGCGCAAGCTAAGGGCGATACTTGTGTGTTTGAATCAGCATTTTTCTGTGATCTCTTCCACTTGTACTTTTAAAAGGTACTCATTTCCGTGCGTCTTGCAACAGAACCGCTAGAGAGATGCAAGAGTGCTTTTTCGAGCCTTTAGAAAATGTTTGTGAGCTCATACAGCGCAGAACTCTATCCAGGACAAGACCTGGACTTGAGATAGGGTATCATATAGGACAGCTCCCTGGAACGCCATAAGCCATTGACCGACTGGAAGTTGACGAAATTGTATCATCGCAGTTCTCTTCTAGTGGATTCTTTGTGAGTCATCAACCCAACTCTGATAGAAAGGAGAAGCACTGTGAGGTGTGCATCAAGCTGCAATAACACAGGACATTAGAGTAGGCGAACAACTAGATATAATGTTGTAAAATGCCGTTTACTAAGCTAGCGGACCAGAAGGGGCAGTGAGCTACTGTCTCAAGCCTAGATTAAAAACAGTTGCTGTGTTGAGATGCAGCTACGTACTATCATTGTGATGTAGTATTGGCGGTTGGACGCGATTTCGGCATATCTTGTAAACAGTTGTGAGTCGCCACCTCCAGAGCATATTTCTGGCAAGTCTGGAATTTCCACCCTTGACCTAACGTCTTTGTCGTCTGACGCAATATATAATCTGGAAACCAAGATAATTTGACGATGCGCTTCCCTATTCGAGATTAACACGCATGGTCGATATCTGATCGCCATTTCTTGATTTTCGTACAGCAAAACATGAAGTGGACTCGTTGGATCCGTGAGAATGGTTGTCCCACTCTTTTTACTCAGTGTCCTAGATGACAAATTCATCCGTGACGGATATCAAGCCCTCGGCCTTCAACCTTACGATCGTAGTGTCATCAAAGCTTTGTTATTTCTTGCACATTTCCTTGAGGTGTCATATTCCCAGCTCGTTAAAAATTTCTACCGGAGGCAGTTAAACAATCATTCAAAGCCAGGAATAATTTGGGTACTTTGTTCACGTGTAGATAATCGCTCTCTCTACTAGCCTGTGAGGCTTCATTATACTCCGCGGTTGCCGGTCACATGATTACGCTGACTAGGGCTCACACATTTTCTTATCTTCAGGGCCTAGCATCTTTACTTGGAACTTATAGTCACTCTTTAACTCCACTGGCTCTGAAACGAGAGAGCGCGACGCCCAGTAACTCTACTCTTCACCGTCCCTGACAGAAGACAATAGCTCACAGCTGTTATTTACATCCCACAAGAGATACAACCTCAACATAGATATACAAAGGAGACAGCGATGTGCTATCGCTCTTCTTTGTCTCATCCTGAGCCATCAGTATACAACTGCTGAATTTTTCTATCTCATCGTGATCTCGTGGCTTACTGTTGCCTCTGCCTCTCGATATCTGCTCGAGGCATCTAGCAGCACCATAATTATCAATTTTGGACAATACCATGTTCTGTACTGAACGTATCGTGACCTCGTAACTTCGCAAAAATCACCTTGACCGCCTGACCAAAGTTGGTCCATGCTCGCCAAAATTTTAATAGGACAGACATAGGTGGCACCTAATTTTCCGTTCAGTCGAAATATGGATCGCTGTGGTCCAACTGCGTCATACTTAGAATAAAATCCTGTCTCGGGACTCGACAACATCCCACGTTGCAAAAGCTACTTGTCGCCCAACATATAATTTGACAATTTTACTAGTGCCCCCATCGCAAGACGCACGTATATCGTATTTGAATTTGTCAGCTTTAATACCTTCGCGTACTGTCTACTGTTTTTGATAGTTGCGCGTCGTACGTAATTGCTCGACGCTTCTTTATCCATTTGGACTCATTCACGGTTCACAAAGCCCGAGACGTTGATATTGATAACCAACCGTGAGCTTTGAGTTTCACATCTTTTATTTTTATAATTTTTGTGTCTGAGTTCCACGGACAACGAACTCCATGAAGGACAATAGAATCCAGTCTTTCCCAGTAGGCGCAGGGCAGCCTACTAAAACTCGGCAATTCTCTGTGGATGACTTGCCCGCCAACCTTATTTGAATGCTAGATATTAAGAGCTCACAGTCGAGAGCGAATGGGGCGCGCAAGGCGCGCAGATATGCTGTATTAGCGCAAATGGAACAGGTCAGGTACCGCGGCGCTGTTCAGTAGCTTTAGACCCCTCTATTTCCTCTGAATGACAGAGGTTTATCATCTCTGGCGCGCTCATAGAGCTTCGGCTTCCAATATCCTAACTGGTCCTTGCTACACGAAATTGTTTTTCGCATTGAACGTGACGCCCACCGCTTTTTCGAAAGAGGTAAAATAAACGCAGCAGTTTTCGATGCAAGTCGCACCAAGATGAAGCCCGTCCATAACGATGATAGCCACTGCCCAGAGAGGATGTGACGCCATTGCGACGGTATTACATCTACATTCCTTTTATAGGCCTGGTAAGGCGTTGCAAACACTTGCGGTATCTGTAACCTTAAGTACGATGTACAAATATCTTAAGCCGAGGTTTGAATTTCCATTCCCCAGCGTGGCCTTTTTTCTCGAATCACAAGCACGACTCGTTGTTACTACGTTTGGAGTATAGCTGAATGCACGAACATCTCATCATTCCTCGTCCAGGGAACAGAAGTTCTCCGTCGTGGATCTCAATGGCCCGGAAGCTCAAAGCTAGTGGTTTTGCATTGGGGTCCATTTGTTCCTCAACCGGCGTTTGGGTGGGCATTTCTGAACGTGTTTCGCCCGCGCATTCTGCAGTTCGGTGAGTGCTTCCAGGCAAAAAACTACCGCATCTGTCTATTTGTCCGCCAGTTCCCTGACCTAATCGGGACAAACGATAGCCATAAGCTTGTCAAGTTGATGTTAACGTCGCGGTGACTGATTCCCGAACATCGATGTCAATCCCGACAAAGAAGCAGTATGTTCACGACTTGGTCGTGGGATTGAAAACTAGGTCCATGAAAAGCAAAGAAATTAGCCGTGCATAGCATTAGACGGAGATTTCGACTCAGAAAACGCTTAAAGTTTGGGTTCGTGTGCTCCTACAAGAAGCGGAAGTAAGTGCCCTACCACCCTACCGTCTATTTAGTACTGCTGTTCAGCATGTAAATAGATCCAATTTTATCGGAAATAGCATTTTACAACTTGACACAATTCCACAAACGTGCAATATGAGATTTGTTTAATTATACGATATTGTGTTTAAATTAAGCACCAAATGTGAAGGTAATTCAATTACACAAGACTCCATTTTTTCCATTTGCATTTACCGAGGCATAGTGATGATTTGGTTTGTTCCTCATTATACCTCTGGTATTAGTCGCGATTATGTAGCTCTTGCAAGTCAAAAAAGCGAAGCCATTTTATTGCACGTGGAATCTACATCGCTGTATTTCTTGGACAAATTAGCCAAGAGCCCACTTAAGGGGGTGAAATTTTATGAGTTTTGAAAAGCCTGGATAGCGCGCGGATTGACTGAAACTATAGAAAAGGGAGAGCCAGACGTTTGAAGTATCAACTGCGAGATAACATATTCACTTTGTCAAAGTCATTTCTATACCATCCTATACATTTGTAGCGCCTATGTGTTTGATAGAAATAAAGTAACCACGCCGAGTCGCGCGAGATCTAAACATTTGAGCTTTGACCTATTAGCCATTTATGATTGTGGTGTAGCTTGAGAAGGATTTTTAGTACCACTTGAACCTCAATTTGTCGTCCAGCACAAATTCTATGTCAAAGCGGATAGTCGTTAGGAGCCCGTTTGACTTTGAAGCTATCTTCACGTTGCTGCCTTATTACAATGTGTTCCAATGAATTTCAAAGGTTGATTAAGCTGGAGGAGGAACAGTTAGTCGCTTTACAAACCAATCAGATCCCAAGGCAGAGTTTTCTCACGCAATCGGTCCTATTCATTTCTAATTACTTTTGGATGTGGTCGTTTTTGCTCCTACGCACGAAACCTTGTTGTTTATGTTCTCTCCTTTTCTAAATCGTTGCATGCGAGAATCAACTTCTTGTGAAGTGCGTAACTACCGAATACGGATACGTTTATGTAAATGTTGATCATCATCTCTGGCTTTCATTGTACACCTTCAAAAAAAGAGAAGTGACGTGAACAGAAATTCGCTCGCAGTTCGCAAAATGACAGATGGTCGAATTGGTGCTTGTATATATGAGAACGAAGAGGGTGCAGTTATCACCATCCAGTTGGATTTTACTTGTTGACTATAAATTTTTCCGAATTGAGACGCAATCTCTCAATTTGCGCTTAACGTCCACACTATGTGCGTGCGACCAGAACTGGGCACTGACATGCGTTGGCAAACCGTTCATGGATCTGTATGATGCAAAAAGTCTTTCCTTCGTCGGATGCGTATTCAGTCTTACCAACAGCAGTGAGAGCATTCATTAGTATGTCAAAGCACAAGCGGTGGTAGCGGTTTAAGCAGCAAGAAATGCTTGTGATAGTTTCAAATTTGAGACCGCCCTAGATAATGAAATCATCACAGGTCTCAACTACGGAGTCTCATCATCTTCCTGTAAATGGCGATATCCCGTTAACTACGATTACACCAAGTGGAATGTTTCGTACAATTTCGTGGTTTATACAATTGTATCAAGTTTGAATAGGTAAAATCACAGTTCTTGCTCCCCGACACCCTCCCATTTAAAGCGCGAACTACACTGGGTATCGCACTTATTTTGTTTTTGAGAACATTGGGCAAAATATTCTGCTCTTTGAGTAATCATTGCAACCAAGGTTCCTTTCTACTCTCTGAAGTCTACCGAAGATGCTCCTTAGCATTTTTGCATCGGGATTTCCAGCCCATGCACAAGAAATTGACTCAATGAGCCTCTACAAAAGGGGTAATCTTGCAATCAACGCACTTGATAGTATTCTTGGCGAGGATGTCGAGGTATTCGTGAACGGTAGTGGTGACTATCTGCATCGGGGCTGCCATAGCTTTGCGCTTTGAGATAGCATAAGTTAGGTCACCGACCTCTCGTTCTACACTCAGAACAAGTACGAGTTTAGCGGATCGCAATCGCTTCCTCCAAGAGTAGTTATAGCCTTAACCCAAGGCTATAAATTCTTCGGTTTAAAACTGACTTTATTTATTTTTATCAGCGGCAAAGCCGCCTAATTTTAAATGCATAGATGTTCCTTAATATATATAGTAAAATCTAAATACCTGTATAACTACTGGCTATACAGC